ATGAGTGCAGTTACAAACATGCAGGCAATATACTCATACACATAAAATAAAAATAATAAATAAACTATCAAAAAAATAGGACCAGGGCTGGAGGAGGGGAGAATGGTTCAGTTGGTAATGTGCCCTGCCATGCCAGCATGAGAACCTGAGTCTGTGTCTCCAACACCCACAGGTCTGTCTTCCCTGTGCTGGGGGTGGGGGCCTCAAGCTTAGTGGTCATCCAATCTAACTAAATCAGTGAGCTCCAAGTTCAGTGAGAGATGCTGTCTCAAAACATCAACTTCTCCACTCATATTCACATATATGTGAATACACATACATGCATACATACATACATACACGCACAAATAGTGCTGCTGTTGAAATTCTTACTTTTTCCTGAAAACTGAATTGTCGGTATAAGTGACTGACTAGAATACAAATTAACCATTTCTTTCAGTGGCCTATTCAGAGATGATTTGCCACATAGAAATATGTCATAAGGCTGAGTGTGCTTTGTTTGCAATGTAGCATCTAAATCCCATACCATTTTCCACCCCACTCTGAACCTTATTGTCTTTTGATTCCTACCATAGGAAGTGGAAGCCAACAAAGGTGGTGGTTCTGCACCTTACTTCATATTAAGAACAACTGAATATTTATTTCTATCTGTTGTATCACAGGGCTGGAGATATAGTTCAGTGGTGGAATGCTCACCTTGCCTAAGTTATGTCACAATATCCCAGAATCAAAGTGGCTGTTCCTCAGTGGCCTGGTCAAGATGTCATGTGCCTATTTTAAATGAGAATATAGACATACTAACTAGAGGAAAAGAGTCAAATCCCCAAGCTTAGCTTCATCATTTATCTATCCTATATTGTAATGAGTATGTCTTTACTTTCCCAGTATCATTGGGTTAAGCAATTTTTTTTCAGTATGTATATATATTGCTCCTAGTTGTACTGATGAAACAGGTTTCACTTATAAATTTTAGTAAAAAAAAAAAAAAAAACCTGAAGGTGGGGAATCAGAGATGAGGCTCAGGAGTTAAGAGTACTTATTGCTCTTGCAGAGGACTGGGGTTTGGTTCCCAGCACCCACATGGCAGCTAACAACTGTTTGTAATTCCAGGCCCAGGGATTCAATCACTGTTCTGGCCTCTGCAGGCACTGCAATGCACATGGTGCACTTACGTGCATGTAGGCGAAACATTCATGCACGTAAAAAAAACCCAAAGACCATGGTGCACATCTATAATCCTGGCACTTGGAGATGGGGGTAAGAGGATCAGGATTTCAGGATTATCCTCAGCTACTCAGCAAGTTTCAGACCATCCTGGGCTAAATGTTGTGACTTGTGCCATCAGATTTAAATTAAAAAAAAATTTTTTTTTGACCTTTTGATATAGAGTCTCCCATATGGCCCCTCGCCATATAGACCAGGTTAACCTTGATTTCAGAAATTCCCTGCCTCTGCCTCCCTAGTGCTGGGATTAAAGGTGTGTGCCCCCATACCCAGCCCAATTTTAATTATTTTAATTAAGAAAAATTTATGCATATAAGTATTTTGCTTACATGTATGTAAGTGCAACATGTGCACACAGTGTTTGCAGAGGCCAAAAGAGGGCATCAAATTTCCTGATCTGGAGTTAAGGACTGGTGTTAGCCTTCATGTGGTTGATGGGAACCCAACTCAGGTTTTCTGTAAGAACAGCAAGTACTCTTAACTGCTGAGCAATCTCCCCAACTCCAACCCACCCCTCTTTTTTTTGTGATAGGGTCTCATGTAGCCTTGGCTAGCCTGGAACTTACCATTAGACCAGGCTGGCTTTGAACTCAGAGAGATCCATCCACCTTTTCCTCCTGAGTGCAGGGATTAAAGGTGTATGCCACCATGCCTGGCTGAAATTTTAATTCTTTTTTTGTTGTTGCTTTATTTTTATTTTATGTGTATGTGTGTATTGTGTGCATGTATGCAAGTACATCCCTACCATGCCATGCCCATGGAGGACAGAAGATGGGTTGGATCTCCTGAAATTGGAGTTAAGGGACAGTTGTGAGCCATCATGTAGGTGCTGGGATTCGAACCCAGGTCTTCTGCAAGATCAGCCAGTGCTCTTAACCACCAAGCAGAGCTGAGCCATCTCTCCAGCCCTGAAATTTTAATTCTTAAAAATATCAGCCAGGCGTGGTGCTGCTCGCCTTTAATCCCAGCACTTGGGAGACTCAGGTGGATCTCTCTCTGTGAGTTTAAGGGCAGCCTGGTCTACATAGTGAGTTCCAGGCCAGCTGGGCCTATGTGGAGACCCTGTCTCAAAAAGACTAAAAAGTATATATTATGGGGGGCTGGAGAGATGACTCAGCAGCCTAGAACACTTGAAGTTCTTCTAGAGGACTAGGGTTCAATTCCCAGCACCCACATGGCAGCTAAGAGCCATCTGTAACTCCACTTCCAGGGGATCCAACACCTTCTTCTGACCTCTGCAGGCATTGTACAACACAGGTGCACTTGTATACATGCAGGCAATATGCTCATACACATAAAAATAATAAATAAAATGTAAAAAGATGTATTGTGGCACAGACAAAAGGCAAACTCATATCATTTTAGTCTTAAGGGTGCAGAACTAATATTTTTGGAAAAGTACTGTATTTATTAGTATGCAGACTTAATTACAGTTCTGTGCTAGAATTTTGATGCTATTTTCGGAAGATTCCTTGTAAGTTAAAGCTATAGCTCTTTTTTATTCATTACTACATATGTGGACTTTTCTCTCCCTAGGCAGCTGTGTCAAGTCTTCAGGAAATGGCACCAGGAACAACATTCAAACCTGTTATTGGTGATTCAACGGTAGATCCAAAAAAGTAACTTGATGTGTTTGTCTTTTTTCATGCTCTGTAGAAGTTCAATAAGTAAACAAAATTCCCCCCGTCATGATGTAATTTTTCTTGGGGGTATGTGTGTGCATTAGGGACTGAACCCAGGGCCTTACCGCTAGGCAAGTGCTGTAGTGCTGAGCTGATCCCTAGTGCTGTTCTTATGTAAACTCTGTAATAAGGGGACCGTACATGCAAGAGTGCACTTTGGAGGCAGATGTTGCTCAAGGAGAATTGCAGGGCTCAGCAGATAACTGAACTGAGAAACACAGCTGCCCCCGCCCCCAGCTTCATCAGCAGGACATTGAAATCTAGTCTCACCTTTCTTCTAACACTATTCTTAAGGATATTTCTCTCTGTTGCCCACTTTGTTCCCAACAGTGTTAAAACCCTCATATTCTGCTGTGGCAAACATTTTTATGCCCTGTTGAAGCAAAGAGAATCTTTGGGGGCCAAGAAACATGACTTTGCCATCATTCGAATCGAGGAACTCTGTCCTTTCCCACTGGATTCATTACAGCAAGAGATGAGCCAATACAAACATGTTAAAGGTAAAGACCTGTTCCTGTTACGTCTTTTGCTTTTCAGATATCTGAAACCTGTTTAGACTATTTCAGATGAAAGGAGGTGGTGGAGGAAGTGAAAGTTACTAGAAAGTCAAATCTCATGAAATCTGAGAGTCTGATACCCACTAGGGCTGATGTATTAGTTATTTTCTGTTGCTGTGATAAGACACCATGACCAAAGCAACTTATAGAAGGAAGAGTTTATTTAGCTTACAGTTCCAGGGGTTAGGGTCCACATGGCAGGGAGGCGTGGTGGAAGGAAGTGCCTGGAGCAGAAAGCTAAATGATCACATCTTCCTCAAGCAGGCATAGGAAGCAGAGAGAAACAGAATTTCCAGCGAGGCTTGAGATCTTTCAAAGCCTGCTCCCAGGGATGTGCTTCCTCTAGCATGGCCACATTTCCCAAAGCCTCCCAAAACAGTGCCACCAACTGGAAACAAAATGTTCAAATACTTGGAACCTAAGGTGGACATTTCATTTCAATCACCACATTCCACTCCCTGGTACCCATAGGCTCATGACTATATGAAATGCAAAATGCATTTAGCTCACCTTTAAAGTCCCCACAGTTTTTACCAGTCTCAATACTATTCAAAAATCTTGAGTCCAAGTCTCTTCTTAGATTCAAAACAATCTCTTAACTGCAATCTCTTGTAAAATCAAAAGACAAATTACATACTTCCAACATACAATGGAACTGAATACACATTCCTATTCCAAGAAGTAGGAATGGGGGTATAATGAGGGAATACTGCACCAAAACAAGACCAAAACCCAGCAGGGCAAACATCAAATCAAGTAGCTCTGTGTTTGACTTCTGGGACTTTACTTCCAAAGGGCTTAGAAAGCCCCTCCAGCTTTGCTGCATGCAGTGTGCATCTCTCTCCTGGGCTGGTACCACTCCCTGTATGCAGCTCTCCTTGGCAGATGTTTCATGGCTCTAGCATCTCTAATGTCTTTTGGGGGTTTCCACTGCCAACCAAGCTTCACCATCACAGCTTCACACAATAGTCTGTCAAGGCTTCTTGGTCTGTCAGGGCCTTCTTTATGCAGGGACACCCCTGATGTATGCTGCCGGGCCTGGGTGGAAAGCCTACGGAGAAAGAGCCAATGACCCCTTCACTCCTTCATCTGTCATGCCTCTGAAGCCAGTACCATGTGAAATGTGAAGGATTCTTGCATACTTCTTCTACATTAGCAGTTTTTTTATGCTTTGATTTTCTAGGAGCTGAATACCCCTTCCCTGTTTTCCTTTCAGAAATTGCAGGCTTATTGTGGTCTTGCCCTGACATTGTTTAAGTGCAAATCTCTAGGCCTTTCCTTCATCACTCTAATCTCTTTATCAAAGAGAGCCTCTCCTTCAGCACATGCCTTGGTTCCAACATTAATCTTCCTGGTGCACTTTTTAAATCCAGACTGTACACTCTGCACTCTTTCTTTCTCTTTTCATTGTAGATCTCTGCACTAATAACCATGTCACTAGTTCAATGTTAGGCTGTCTTGAAATTTCCTCTCTCAAAGAAATTATTCCATTACTTTTCAGCTTAGTCTTGGACCACCTCCTAGACTGTGGGCAGACAGCAGCCAGACTCTGCCAAAATATCCCAGTTGCTGTTTAAGTCCTTAATTTCCCTCTTTTGCTTCAGCACTACTTTCTTACAGGCTCCTACTAGAATGATATCCTTAAGCTCTGTTTATAACATTCAACCACTTTTCTGGTCCAAACTTCCAAAGTCTTCCACATTCCCCCAAAAACCCACATGGTCAGGTTCTTCAAAGCAACACCCTACTCTCCTGGTACCAACTTATATATTAGTTACTTTTCTGTTGCTGTGATAAAACACCATTACCAAGGAAACTTACAAAAGGAAGAGTTCATTTGAGATTATGATTCCCGTAATGGCCAGGGAGGCATGGCAGCAGACGTGGCCAGAACAGAAAGCTAAGAAATCACATCTTCAAGCAGGCATAGGAAGCGGAGAGAGACAGAAAACTGGTAAGGCTTAAGAACACTCAAAGCCCACCCCCAGTGCTTGCTCCAGCGAGGCTGCTCCTCCCAAAACAGCACTACCAACTGGGGACAAAATGTTCAAATACTTGGAGCCTATAGGGGATGTTTTCATTCAGTCCACCATAGCTGGTGTCTCCATGTCTTTTTTGGTGTGCTGGTCAGTCTTCCCTTCGTCATCTATTGTAGGTTGCCAATGCTGTACCACTATGTGTGAGAATTAAAGAGTGATTATGAAAGATAAAGCATTTTCAGTAAGTAGGTTTAGAATACCTAATATCTCTATGCACTTTATACAAATTAATTGACCATAGACCTAAATGTAAAGCTATAATAGTATTAGGAGAAAATCTTTGTGTTCTTGGTTAGATGAAAAGTTCTTAGTTATGTCACCAAAAACACATTTTGTAAAAGAAAACTTGGGCTTCATCGAAATGAAAAACTCATACTGTGAAAATTAGTAAAATGAAAATAAAAAGACAAGTCATAAGCTGGGAGAAAACATGCAGAATGTAGAGATCTAACAAAGGACTATGTAGAATATTGAAAAAGAATCCTTAAAACTCTGTTGTAAGAAAGAAGCCAGGTTTTCCAGATGTGGGAAAGCTTTGAAAAGGTACTTTTTCCAAAGAATTAGAGGCAAAGATGCTCAACATCATTGGTGACAGAGAAATGAAAATTAGGCCAATATGATCTATGTCTAAAATTAAAACAAAACAATAGACCGATGATATCAAATGCTCATGAGGATTCAAAGCATCAGGAATCTTCACTCATTGCTGGGGGGACTGCAAGCTTCTGCAGCCGTTCTGAACAGTTTCTTATAGTTGCCGTGTGGTTCAGAAGTTCCATTGCTGGTTTACCCAAGAAAATGAAAACAGGTTCACAGAAAAATCTGTATGCAAGTGTCTTCAGGCAGCTTTATTTGTAATTGCCTCAATCTGAAAACAATCAAAATGTCCTTCAACTAGGGAATGAATAAATACAGTTTACCCGTAGCAATCAACATCTGTGCAATGTCATGATATTCAGCAATAAAGAGGGGAGAAAGTATTGGGATGCTATTCAGGGCTTCATGTGTGCTAAAAGTGAGCAGTCTACCACTCAGTCCCAGGAATGAATTGTTGCTATACAGAACAACTTGGATAAATAACAAATATATTTTGATAATTCAAGCCAGACTCAAAAGGCTACGTACTATATGATTCCATTTATATGGCATTTTGGAATAGGTGAAACTGTAGGAATAGAGAAAAGATGTATGGCTGACCACAGTTGGGGTTGGGAGGGGAAGTTGACTACAAAGGATTAGAATGAGGAAACTTGGGAGTTGATAGAACTACTTTGGATCATGATTGTGGTGCTGGACATAATAACTATGTACTTTCTAGAAAAAAGAAACCCAAAAAGATAATACTAGGACCTGGAGAGACAGCTTAGTTTAAGAGTGCTTGGTGCTATTGCAGAGGACCTGAGTACTATTCCCTGCACCCATGTCAGGTGGCTCACACTAGCTCTAGGAGCTAGCCCTCTTCTGGTCTCTACTGGCACCCACACATAAGTGGCATATATTTCTACAGACATGCTCACATACATATAAAAATAATAATAAAAAGACAAGCAGTATGTGGTATTAGAAAAGCATGTATTTAATTGAAGTTGGAAATGTATCTATTTACTATGTATTTATGTATATATCTGTCCATCCATCCATCCATTCATCTATCCATCCATCATATCTCTACCCCTTCACCCTCCTTTTTGGTATATATATTTAAAAAATATATTTTTG